CTTATAGAAAGAGTTTTTTATACTAAAAATAACAATATATATATATAATATTATCAAAATTGTGTGTTATATCGGATATAGATCATTTTTTTGACATAAGGAAATTCCTAAATAAGATGTAACAATATTGTAAGTAAAGATCAATCATTAAGTTTTGTAATACTAAAAGTATACTTATCTTGCAATGAAACTTTTCACAATTACATTTGATGCTTATGAGAAAAACAAAGCAAATGTTAATGATATTTGATCTGAAATTCAAGATAAAACAGTTAATAAAGTAAACGATAATGATATTCGATCAGAAATTCAAGATAAAACAATTAATGAAGTAAATAGTAATATTTGATCAGAAATTCAAAATGGTGCAGTTGAAGAAGTAAATAGTAATAAATTTTGTCTTACGCTCTACAAATGCACATTATGTCATGCTTAAGCTGTTATCTGCCACCTTATCCATTTGTCAATAATAAAGAAATCATCTTTTTATATTCAAATTCTATCAAAATAAAAATTACTAAGACAATGTACCCCTTACATGACATAGTTAACATAAGCATGACATTAATACGCATAATTACACTGTTTATAGTATCTTTTCAAAAAATATGGCTATATGATTATAACCAGAATATTACTCATTGTCTATAACTATTTTTATATGATGGTTATAGCACAATTTTTCAAAAGTTATTTCTCAACTCGACATTACACAAAATGACAATTTACTAAAAATAAATACCTGCAACTAATTAAATGCTAACTCTAACCCTATGTAATGTCAAGTAAATAGATGTCTTTTAGGTAATTGAGCAACAGCCTAGTAACTGGGTACTGTAAGCAGAGGCTAATGGTAATTGCCTAAGTATTCAAATCACTCATATCTATCTAACTTTTTTGTAGTGCTATTAGAAGATATTCCAAAAGAATCAAAGTTTAATATCTGGAATGAAGTAGAGAAATTCTTTTTCAAGTACGGTGCAAGAAATAGATTTTGCATTAATAAATATAGAGTAAAGTATAATGAAAAAACTGGTACAATATATAGTAGAACCTTTATTTGCGAGTTTGGAGAAAAGTATAAGTCAAAGAAAGATCCAACAGTGATACAAAAAGACATATAGCATAATACCAGAACAAAAAGGATAGGATGTTAGTAGTATTGTAATCTCTCCCTAGGTGGTTCTAAATTTAAAATTGGAATAACCATGTTTGTAAATAAACACAACTATAAGCTTATAAAAAAAACTCAAAAATTTGAAATAGCATATAAATCATTAAGTAAAGAGGCCAATCTATTGATCACCACTCAAAAAAACTTGTTTAGAGCTCAGTTTCCTAATTTAAATTTCCAAGACATGGATTTTCATAATACAATTCAAAGTGTTAAAAAATCAAACCAAAGTAAAAATAATGATGCATCAACATTACTTACATTATTGATGAAAAAAAAATACTTAAGCTACAGTGGGTTGTTAAATTTGAACTAGATGAAGAAAATAGATTAACTTAGATTTTGTGGATATTGCCAGAACAAGTAAATCTGTGGCTAAAATATCATGATGTGGTACTTAACAATAATATAGCAAAAACAAACCAGTACCATATGCTACTAGGCCTCTTTGTAATAATTGACAACAATAGAAGAATGTGATTAGTTTGTCAAACACTAGTTAGTAATGAAACAATAGACACTTATATATGGATCTTATAGTCTATTAACAAAGCAACATGTTAAGCACCAATAGTAATATTTACAGATGCAGATCCTGTATTGGACGCAGCTATTTCTATTGTATTTCTAACCACTTATGTGACCCATTGCATATATCATATCAGTCAAAATCTTCCTAAGAATTTAAAATCCAAGTTAGATAATAGATAGGAAGAGTTTATTAAAGATTTTTACCAATATCGAAACAGTTTGTGTAAGCTACTTTTTGAGAAATGGTGGAATAACATACTGCAAAAATATCCTACAACAAAAGACTATCTGCAAAGAATACTTTATCAAAGTTATTAGTCATGAGTACGTGTATATTTATTCAAGATATTCACAGCAGGTACTGAAAGTACCACACGTGTAGAAGGGTACAATTGGGTTATCAAAAGAGAATTAAAGACAAACAGATTATTATGTGATCTTGCTGATAGGTTAGACCAACGATTGAAAGATAAGACTCAATGGAGACAGTTCTACGAATATAAAATATCAATCACACTGTCAACAGTACCTATGGCTGGTCAAGATCTTTTTCCTAAGATTAACAAAGTTCTGGATGAATATTTGACAGAGACAATTAATATCACAATTAAAACAGAAATGAGCGAATGCCTTTTTATAAATGCAAATAAAATTAATCCTACAAATGAAAATTTAACTCGCGAACAGGTAATAAATAATGTGATGTTAATAAACTTATCTTTAATGATTTTAGTAACAGAAAATAAATATAGAAAACAGTTGAGCAACCCTATAACGGATTCATAGAAGATCAAAATAGTGTACGAAATATAATGCTTTAGACCATGATCAATGAAATTGAATATGAAAATTTAAAGAAAATTTGGAAGATTACTAACATGTGTAATGAAAAAAAACACCATGTCCACTTCATAGTCATTATTAATCCAATCTTCTTTTTATATTCATGTTTAATGAATATTTCTAGAGACATTGTATACTGACATTTCTTTCACATAATGATGCACTTGTTTTTAGTAATATTCTATATATCAATGATACCTAATTGTTGGTACAAAGAACCATATCAAGATCTCGTAATTTTAGAAGAGAATAATTTTGTGTTTAGTCATGAGAAAGATGCAGTTAATACAAGCCCAATAATTCAAAAGCCAATTACTATACCAACCACTCTGCCAGTTGCAACTTCAGTTGTAAAACAAACTATTCATAAAAGAAATCAATATAGGCAAATTTGGAGTCTTGTATGTAAAGCAACTCAGCTTACTGTAGATAATAATGACAATGAAATAATTTAAATCTTAATAAAATATATTAGCAGATTAAAAAACAAGAATGAGGTTAGGACACCAGCTACAACTATAGAACAAAATCAAATAAATCAAATATCTAATTTGATAATTCCCAATACAATTAAGCATCCAATAAATCAAATATCAAATTCGACAGATTTGACAATCCCTAATACAAATGAACAAAGTATTAATAATAGAGAACAATATAAAGAATTTAATGAATCTATTTCAACAAGTATTGTTAATGTTTGAAACCCCTCTAAAGTCGCTAGCAGAGAAAGGCCTTTAAAATGTAGATATGTAAGCAGCATTAAGAGGGGACAAATTCATGGTAGAGATTCAGCTTATAGTAGAAGTTCAACTTGTAGTAGAAGTTTAAGTCGTGATAAAAGTTCAACTCGTAGTGGAAGTTCAACTTGTGATAGAAGTTCAACTTGTGGTGGAAGTTCAACTCGTGGGTTTTATAAGTGTCACATATGTGGCCAAACTGGCCATAATTCAGCCTTTCATAAAAAAAGATAATTGGGTTGCTGTGAAATTAGATCAAGTTTATTAGTAATATTGGTATTGATATAAAATGATAAAGAATCTTATACGTATATTCCTGTATTTCTATATCTGGATTACTCACTATTGTTATAGTAAAACCAACAGTATAACTAAAATCTTTGTAGTTACAAAAGTCAAATGAAACAAGTAATAGATGTCAAAAAAATTTTGTTAGCAAAATACTCATACACTTTGTATGTTGTGCATTAAATTGAAATGTGTTAAAATAACAGATAAGGGTAAGTATTGCATAGTGGTGTTATGATCTTATACACATTATATAACTTCAGAAATACATGATGACTTCATATCTCGCACGAAATATATGAATTTTTTTTATTAAAAAATTTATTTCGCGTGAGATTATATGATTAGTTGCGTGAATATAATATCAGCATCTTGCATATAAACACATCTCTAGTTTTGATACTTTTTTGATATTTAGATTTTATCAAATTCATATTGAATCTTGTATTTAAAGCTATTTGACCAATCCGAGTAAAACTCTCTAAACTGGATATTCGAATTTACCTATAGTTAGATTTAGAATTGAAACACTATATCAACATATACATAGTGTCGGATATAATATTAAAATATATAACATGCGACATATAATGTTATTGCATCCTATGTGCGATATATAGATATTACGCATGGTGGATATATAAATAATTCCTTTTTTAATAATAATTTTTAATGGATGATTTGCCACTCAACAAAAACATGGTCTTAAAAGTGATTACCTTAGTATGAAAAAAAGTTTATCTTGGACGATCACCACGTTCACACTATAGTAAATTTATATAGTAATCTGAGTCACATTTTACTAAGCTCATGCTTTTGTTGAGTGGCAAATCATCTATTAATAAAATTACCTCTTTAAAATCACAAATTATATATATAAATATAGATGTTTAAAATTGTTCTAAAAATTGATTAAAGATATCTCAGCAACTACTTGATCAAATCGAATGAAAATTTTTTTATTTAAATTCTATAGAACTATAAAATTTAAATAAAAAAATTTTCATTCGATTTGATCAAGTAGTTGCTGAGATATCTTTGATAAAAGTTTTGTTAAAAATTTTAGTACAGCTTTTATTTTGATAGATGTTTTAGAATTCTCTAAAACTTTGATCAAAGATATCTAAGCAACCACTTAATCAAATCGAATGAAAATTTTTTTAATTTAAATTCTATAGAACTATAGAATTTAAATAAAAAAATTTTCATTCGATTTGATCAAGTGGTTGCTGAGATATCTTTGATCAAAGTTTTGTTAAAACTTTTGGCGCAGCTTTTATTTTGATAGATGTTTTAGAATTCTCTAAAACTTTTATCAAAGATATCTCAGCAACCACTTGATAAAATCGAATGAAAATTTTTTATTTAAATTCTATTGACTATAGAATTTAAATAAAAAAATTTTCATTCGATTTAATCAAGTGGTTGCTGAGATATCTTTGATCAAAGTTTTGTTAAAAATTTTGATACAGCTTTTATTTTGATAGGCATTTTAGAATTCTCTAAAACCTTGATCAAATATATCTCAGCAACTACTTGATCAAATCGAATGAATTTTTTTAAATTTAAATTCCATAGATCTATAGAATTTAAATAAAAAAATTTTCATTCAATTTAATCAAGTGGTTGCTGAGTTATCTTTGGTCAAAGTTTTGTTAAAAATTTTGGCACAGCTTCTATTTTGATCGACGTTTTATAATTCTTTAAAACTTTGATTAAAAATATCTCAGCAACTACCTGATCAAATCAAATAAATTTTTTTTATTTAAATTCTATAGATATATAGAATTTAAATAAAAAAATTTTCGCTCAATTTGATCAAGTGTTAAAAATTTTAATACAGCTTCTTTCTATTTTAATAGGTGTTTTAGAATTTTCTAAAACTTTGATTAAAGATATCTTAGCAACCACATGATCAAATTGAATGAATTTTTTTATTTAAATTCTATAGATCTATAGAATTTAAATGAAAAATTTTTGCTCAATTTAATCAAGTAGTTGCTAAGTTATCTTTGGTCAAAGTTTTATTAAAAATTTTGACACAGCTTTTATTTTAATAAACATTTTATAATTCTCTAAAACTTTGATTAAAGCTATTTTAGCAACCATTTGATCAAATTGAACGAAATTTTTTTTATTTAAATTTTATAGATCTATAAAATTTAAATAAAAAATTTTTCATTCAATTTGATCAAGTAGTTGCTGAGATATCTTTAATCAAAGTTTTGTTAAAAATTTTAGTATAGTTTCTTTTTATTTTAATAGGCATTTTAGAATTTTCTAAAACTTTGATTAAAGATATCTTAGCAACTACTTAATCAAATCAAATAAAAATTTTTTTATTCAAATTCTATAGATTTATAGAATTTAAATAAAAAAATTTTTGCTCAATTTGATCAAGTGGTTGCTGAGATATCTTAGCAATGATTTGATCAAATTAAATAAATTTTTTTTTATTTAAATTTATAAAGAACTTAATTAGACATTGCATGCTGCGATGTGCTTATACATTGCCTTTTAACAATTGACCAATTAAATTTGAAGATCAGGTGTAACGTGCAAATTAATTTTGTATAACAAAAATAAAGAAATTTTTTAA